GCAGTTACCGAGTCGGCTGACGGGCAGACCCCCACCATTGGGTGCGGCCCCCTCTTTCTCTTGGGGTGCGCAGTAGGGGTTTGAGTGACCCCAGAACTGAGCCGCTCAATGGGGGGTCGAATGACCCCACCATCATTGCAGTACCTCACCCCAAGAGAAAGAGGGGGCCGCACCCAATGGTGGGGTTTCTGCGCGTCAGTAGCAGTCCCGCTGTCAGTGGGACTAGTCGACTGGGAGCATTTTATTTTCTGAAAATTCTAAATTTTTCAAATTTCAGTGAATACTTCCTGGATTTTCATGTTCCCCTGATACTTTTCGAAAAATTTCAAATTTCACTGAATACCTTCTCGTTTTTCATGCTCCTCTGATACTTTTTTGAAAATTTTTAATTTTTCAATTTCAGTGAATACTTCCTCAATTGTCATGTTCCCCTGATACTTTTTCAAAAATTTCGAATTTTTCAATTTCAGTGAATACCTCCTTGATTTTCATGCGGCCTTGATACTTTTTCAAAAATTTCGAATTTTTCGATTTCACTGAATACCTCCTCGATTTTCATGCGGCCTTGATACTTTTTCAAAAATTTCGAATTTTTCGATTTCACTGAATACCTCCTCGATTTTCATGCTCCCCTGATACTTTTTTAAAAATTTCGAATTTTTCAATTTCAGTGAATACCTCCTTGATTTTTATGCTGCCCTAATACTCTTTCAAAAATTTCGAATTTTTCGATTTCAGTGAATACCTCCTCGATTTTCATGCTCCCCTGACACTTTTTCGAAAATTTTGAATTTTAAAATTCCAGTGAATACATCCTCCATTTTCATTCCATTTGCGATGGAATATGCATTTGAATCAACTGTGCGAATACTTCCACCAAGGCGGGACACAAAAAAGCTCGAATGGCGATTAATCGTGTGAATGGTGTAAAAGGTGCAGAATAGAAAACGTGAGTAGGTTTACAATAACCACAAGCAATTAGTGATTTATAGTCTGTTTGCATCCCGTAATGAGGGGAAACCAGAAGGGGAGTTCTCTCCCGATATCTTCAGTATCATTTCCGCTGATAACGAATCTATGAAACATGATATCAAAAAGGGAGCGGGTAAGAGTACCCGGTTCGCCATAATAGTGCACATCCAATCGACTGCTATGGCGTTCGTGACTTATCGATATCCTAGGATCGTTCTCTCCTGTGATGAGAACATTTTCATGGAAACGGGTAACTGATAGCCCAGCAGTTTTCCTTCATTTTTTGATTATCCCAGAAGCAGGTGGAATACATAAAATTTGACATAACGGGGGCTCACAGAATTGGTTTCCTCTCGATTGATTTCATTAGTCAACCAGTGAGTAGTAATGCTTGAATTATTAAAAGGTTGAAAGGTCTTATGAGATCATCTTAAAGTTCAATGGCAGCAAGAGAATACTTGGCTTTTATGGATATTAAACCGTATGTACTATCAGGTGTCCTGATCTCTCTTCAATTTACACTGTTACAAATTTCCCAATGAGATACTTCTTGGAAATTTCTCTGCATACCACTGATTTCACATATATTCACTTGTAGATGACATTGGACCATCTGAAGGCATAAAAAAAAAAAAAGTGAAAATAAATCAGGAATCTACAATCTTAAATAATAAATATAATGTAATGCAAATAATATGGATAAATCGGAAACCTCATATTGATTAATGATAATTAGGGATTAGTCATTTCTTTCATAGATATAGTTTGTGATTCCGCGGGAAAACGAATCGAGATTGTTCATGTAAAATTTCTGTTTCATTATTCATTTGCTGGAAAATTAGATCTATCGCGCTATTCCGAGAAATCCATCTCCTCTCTAGGCGCATCGTACTCTATTCATTCATCAGTCTAGGATCATATACATTCAGTCTCCCAATCATCCCATCTACTTCCGTTTCATCGGAATGACACCTTCGCACTCGCCCTTATACCCTCCATTCATTTTACTACTTGTCGTAACTCTGATGCAAAATTCACACCAACAAAAGATCTTAGACAGTCATATATGTAAATTGGAAGTCAATTTCAAAATTCCTTAGATAAATTTCCAAACACAAAGTAAATTCCTAAAACGGAGAATTACCAGAGTATTAAATAAATTAACAGATGCGTCAAGCTTTCATCAAGTTTTTCAACTTGAAGTTTCCCGCGTAATTTTTCAATAGTGTAGTGACTTTCCGTGAGTTTCTTAATGTCAATTTTACCTGAAAAAGGAAAATTCTCCCGGAGCGTGATGCTGGGAATTCAGTCTACGAAAGGATGATTGAGGTGAGCATACTCTAACGTGTCAAGTTGAAACTCGCTAGCCAGTAAAATTAGCGATAACACAGACGAGCTGACCCGTACACGTTCAATTTTCAAGCAGGTGTGCGGTGGTAGAGCCCGCGGGTTAACGATCCTGGTCTTCAGCCACGCGAGCAAACCAACATACTAGCTAGATCCACTATACCTGTATGTGGCTGGAGGCAAAAGCCACCCCCAGCAAATGCCCCACAAACGTCGTGGCAACATCTGCCACACTATTGCCTCTGGCCGGACCATACCTTTACCCGCACTCCTTCATTTTGAATATCCCACTGCACCTTTTTCCTATACTACCTCCCGTCTACTTTATAATTCACAAAATTAAATCCGTTACTTAAGCATATTCTGCCCTCTTTTACCCCTAATTACCGATTTTTTTTTTCATTTTTCTGATAAATTATTGACAAATTATTCAAATTTGGTCATTAAACAATGATGGGATGCGGGAAAATGGAACAATGTGGAAGAGGAAGGTTCGAGGCGGTATTTCGATAGGCTGTGAATGGATTATTGAATAATTTCGATATTGATTTGGCGTATTCCTGAATATTCAATTCAATCAATATTCAGAATACGGGAATATATAAAATACGAAAGTACTTAACCATCATCCAGATTCATGTTGACCGAACTATATTGTTCGTTCTGTTAATGGTCAGCATTCGAGAACTTGAGGGATAAACTCAAGATAGTCGTTGAAGATAGGGGCACTAATATTTGGATATCATCAAGAGATTGCTGTGAACATTGATGAAACCCAAATACTAGATTCCATCACTTCGACAACTACGTTTTCAGTCCCCCGGAAGCCGTGATTCTTTCATTGAAATTCTTCAAGTACATCGTATGAAGAGTTTCCAACTGTTTGCACGAAACGTTATTCGTTCTTCATCAAACAGTTGAAAATGCCGCTAAAGCCTTCACCAAAAATTTCAAAGAAGTCTCTAATCAAAAATTACGTTTTGGAAATCGACATTAATCAAATAATTGTAATTCAGATCTGAATATTTTTGTAACTCAGAATAACTCGGAACTCTGATGGCCTCGCTGAAAAACAAGAAATTTTCCGGTTCGTTCTGCAAATGAAATCTCACATTCCTCTTCAGGAAATGACTACTGTAATATCCATGAGGTTTTAATTTCTAGTGCACCAAAGTCCCAGGAAAAGACAGGACAAACCAAATGATCGCATCACAGTCGAAAATGAGAAATTCCATCCAACTGAAAGATCTCGCATTCCACCTCCGAGCTGACCACCAAAAATGATGGAATCTCATCCGCAATAATGAAATTACATCGAGGACAAGAGAACGAGTTCATTCATTGAGAAAAATCCACGAGCCTCTCATCATCCCCTGGATCTCCTCAACAATGCGCCAAAAAACATTAACATAAACAAACAACACACCGCGGATGCATTGCGAGACAGGAAGAAAAATAAATGAAAAAGTAAGAAACAATGAATAAAAAAAAATGATGAAATATAGGAATGCTCAAAAATTCCTGCGAAGACAGGAAGCAATGGGCCACAAATGTGTTTCCATATTTCACCTCCATCTCTCCCTTTTTATACAGTATTTTCAATGCCGTATACCAGGAGAGCTCCCTCTTTAGCAGAAGCGATTTATTTCGAAATATTCCGTATATAGCAGTTGGATTGAAGCCAAAAACGGAATCGAGCGATTCACTAAAAGAGACGGTGAGTGGGTGGAAGGGAGGCGTTAAGTGCATAACCAGAGCGAGAAAATTCAACAGAGGGAAATCCAAATAGAGAAGTGAACCGACGCAATCGTCGCGGATTATGTGAGAGAAGGGTCCTAGAGGATTAAGGACGTGGGACAGACTGCAAAATACTCAGTTGTATGCAAAGAATACCATCCGAGTATTCCTTTGACGCTATAAATTGCACCTGGCCCGATCGTTTAAAGTCTATTTGGAGTAATTGAATTTTTATTGGATTACTCAGTCATCGGTATCAAATTTCATTATGGCAATTTAATTGAAAGGAAGAGTATCATGGAACGGGAGTGTGCACCCAAAAGACACGTGTGATTCGATAAAAATTGTACGTCCATTCGATTTCTATCGCCACGTACTTCCACGTCCCACATTGCTCTAGCCCTTGGGTATGTACCAGCCAACAGTCATGATTTATGGCATATTCCTGAAAGAGTTAATGGAAGCAAAATAGCACCCAGGCACCATGAATCCTTCCATATCGCTGAACATTATTGATGGCAAGGCCTCGATACTGAACGCTATCTACCCGTACACCGGAGAGACTATAATTTATTGGCGAGAACTGTTGACTATTAATACCTACCTTGCACCAGAAAAATTTTAATTTTTACACCCCCAAAAATATTCAATTCAAATTACCCATCTTTGTTGGAATTCTGGAAAAATGTGATTTCAGAAAATTACTAAACGCGTAAATTGTGCGAATTTTTTTTTCTGTGCGTTTCGTCAGTTTTATTGGAATTTACTGTGAAAAATTACTATTACAACATTTATAATTTCGTTGTCACCTTTCGGCCAGTGAACTTGTGTTCTGGCATTTTTATTAAGCATATTTGCCTGCGTGTGGATTATATTGAATGAAATAATTTTATGAGAGGTGATTGATTAATTATTAATTATACCTGTTGTTTTTAATGTTTCAGTTCTACCGACATACCTATCTGGCCCAATACAGGATTGTCAATGTGAAAACACTGTGAGTATCTCCTTATCACAATATACGACAATAATAGACGAATTTTCCAAAAACATTAAATCTCGACGTTTAATATTCTAAGTAATAGCCATTAGTAAAAATTGCTAAGAAAAAAAAAACAGCGCCAGCAGTACAATGAATCTGCTTACGTTGAAAAACCAGAAGTAATATTTCACACTTAGAAGCTCTAGGGGTGAAATTTTGATTTGCATTTTAATCTCGACAAAACTGGGCCCACGTTTCAGTACATACGAATGTATGTGAAACGCAAATTACAAAATACGCTGGAATTTAATCCGCCTTACCCCCGCGGTTTTCTCCGTATCCAGCGGTCTGGTCCTTCAGACGGCGGGGGTGGAACCCACCAAGTTCCACCCCTCCAGTTAAATTTGTACATTAACTAAGTACCACAGTGAAGGAAAAGGGAGCGCGAGAGAGAAAAAATTACCTCCTGATTAAGGCGGTAAGGATTTACCGTGGCTTAACCTTAGGATTTTCACGTTAGCAAATTTCCTTTTCTCTACAGTCATCACCGCAATTTGTGATTTTTTTTTGCATTCAAATTTCGTCGTTCTTGTTCCCATTTTGTTTCTTTTCTCATTTACCAAATTCTTTCTTTCCGGATAGAAAGAATTCACTTAAATAGAAACCTTGGGACAAAATTCTTGGCGTTGTTCTTTTTCGAGGGGCAAAGAATTGCCGTCATTCTGTGGTCGTCGACGCAGCAGAAGCCTTCATTTCTCTCAACGGTATTTCTCAATGTTGAGCTCATCTTCTGTGTACCGGAAGGAAGGGTTTTTGCGCGTTGACGATATCACTTACAAAGACGGTAATAACCAACGTCTGAGCGCTTCAAACATTTGAATGTCTCGGCGTCCGTTTAATTGTTGTCTCTCGATGAGAAGCCATTAAATAAAGGAACTATTGTTTTGGTTCCATCTAGAAGGGCTTCCTGATGAGCCAAATAGGACTAGACCAGGAACTGGCGAAATAGATCGCAGTCTATCTCTCTATCTCTATCTCTGTCTCTGTCTCTATCTCTATCTCTATCTCTATCTCTCGCAGTTGAGCTAGTCGAACCGAAAAGGTTCATTTAACATTTTTTTTCCAATCAACAATTCAACATTCTATTCCATTTTCTAAGTAATCAACACAAATAAAAAAAATAATATATTAAGGGAAACTTCTACAGCACCAAATGCTAATTCACTCGTTTCATTCCCGCCAGACACATTCACAATAACCGCGAACTCAATTTAATTTACCCTCAGCCTTCGGTTCATTGACTCAACTATTGTTGCTGTACTCTCACTAAAAACTTTTCCGCAATGCATGTAAATACTGCCAAGCATGTGTGGAATTTGGGGCATCCACGAAGGACAAGGTTAAAGAAGAATTTCGATCTCATTCACTAGCAGAAAAATTTCAGCCTCTTGGGTGTCTCAATTTAATTTGATGCTCCCCAGAAGTTAAAAGAAAAATAATCTGAATTCCTTTTCTGATTATCTGTTACCGACATAAGATAGTGGTTACCCCAATTATTTATTATTATTTATCTACCCGGCTTTGCACAGGGTAATGGATTGGTAATAAGTATGAGTATGTAGACAGGGTAAGGAAAAACATTTGCATGAATGAATCGTTTCAAATAATAAGGACGATTTAAATAACGAATGATGTTGAACCTTCCACCAAAGGCATTTGAACTGAACAGCTCTAGGAAAAAAACTTACCCTTGCGCACTTATACTTCAAAGGGCTTTTTGAGAATGCCAGGAGTTACGTTGGAGCACTTTTCCACTCCCTTTTTCTCACAAAAAGTGTTTTCCTGAGATTCTCAGATTCTCGTTTGCACTTCGCAATGCCTTCATTAATGAACATGAGGAGTTATTAAGAAGAGCGATCTTCTCTGAAATTCCAAGTCGGTATGCATTCATTCACTCGAATTATCACAACTTGTTATAACCTGAGAAAAATTCTGGATCGACTAATGTGTCATTTTTTATTAAAAAAGATAATCTCGAAACGAGAATAGAGAAATTTATTTAAAATCCTTCTAGAAATCCGCAGTGGACTCTTATTTAAAATGAAGCTTTTAGCAAAATCCCCTTAGAGTGCAGGTCTGTATAAATTAAATGTCTCATTCTTCATATCTATTTATTTTTTCCTCAACGAAACGCGGTCGCAATTTGTGTCATTATGTTAAAAGGAACCTCAAAGGATTATAAAATTTTAGAACTGCTATTATATTTTTTCTCGCGTTGGGAAAGGAATGTATTACATAATGCCGCAGTGGAAAAAATGTAGAATCAACCATCAATTATCTTAAAAATTCTCTTTAACAATTAATTAATCAGACCACCAATCCCATAAGAGTGGTATACACCTTTCCCATAATTGGCAAATCCATACAATAGAACCCTTCCAACAATATCAATCTCTCAAGCTTCAAACTTACCACGTGACACGAGTACAACAAAGAACTCGGTGAAATTGATAAGTCAGAAACTGTCACGTAATACACACTTCTCCACCTTCTCCTCTGGCTCCGTCAAAGGAACTCCATCTCAATTGTACCATGAAACCAACTGAGACAAAGCCCTGAACCAACTCCTAACCTTTCCCGCGCCCAACGATATCGTACGCTGCATGAATACCGTTTTATTTATGGCTTGTGGATGGAACGATACCCCTTTGAAGACACAGTTACTGTATTTTCCACCCTCCAATTGCCATCAGGCCCCGTTCAGGCCCCGTTCAAGCCTTTCACTCTCCATAACTAGAAAAAATGTTCTTTGTGTGCAGTTGAATTGCACATCACCTCGAAAGCCATCGATATCTCCACTCTAACGTTCCACGATTTTCCCAATAGAGAAATATGAGAAATAACTCAAGACCGATGCTCACTGCATACCCATGTGCAACTATTAAGCTCTATATATTTTTTTCCATACCTTTTTCACGTCCATAAAGCTTGATTTGTGCAACAATAAATTCAGATAAATGGTGTATATTTGTAAATTGAATCGTACGGATGATGAAAAAAAAGCTAAGCTACGTTTGAATTTTGTTTGCAGAACCGAGAAACTATTGACAGTTGGAAATTCGACAATCCAACAATTGGCAACATGGACGGGCCATGGAAATGGGCTTGTGTACGTCAATCAGAATAACATATATTACAGACCAGAGGCGGAAGTAATGATCGATTATCAGATTACCAACACCGGTGTTTTCGGAAAGATTTACAATGCTGTGCCGGATTGGGTGTACGAGGGTGAGTTGATGTGCTTTAATAAAGTATATTGTTTATTCCACCACTCGGTTTTGCTACCCCATTCGTAGGAGGAGATAATGTCCTGAGGCTACTGCGTCTGACTATTTCCCCTTTTCAAATCTCTCTCGGTTTATGGGTTGTTTCATAAACTAATCCGCTTTCTTATCAGAGTGCATGACATTTTTTATTCCACTTTTATTTCAAACCTGTGCAAGTGCTGCACTATTGCTCCTCTGGTTTACAGAACGTTCGGATATTCTTTTTCGAATTTTTCTATTCCTCGTTTTCATTCGTTATTCACTTCTCTCGGATTTTCAAGTATTTTAGATTTTATTATGTTTTTTTTTCGCATTTCATATTTTCAATTTATTGACTTCCTGAAGAGTGTAATGATTATGCAGATAAGTTCTATATTCACGTGACCGATTGCAAGGCATTTTCTATTCATTATTCATCTTCATGATTGATCTCGCTTTTAGTGAATGCAATTTATCATCAGTGTCATTCAGAATGGTTGAATAATGTCGGAGAAAAAAAATTACTGTTTTGAATCAACAATACGCGAATGGTACTGGCATGCAAGCCACGGAAATTTTCGATTCATCGGAATGATTGTGGATCTCTTCCAAACAGTACGTGGACGTTATATAGAATAAAGGAAAGTTTAATATCGCGAAAGCTAAATGGAATTGAATGGATTTCACTATTTGCTTTCGGTTCATTGGATACTGCAAATTGAAATGGCGGCTGTTTTCAATTATTCTATTCACTCAGAATTCGAAAGAAAACAGTGAGAAAAGGCTGTAGACTTTGTAGCTTGAAAGAGGGAGATTAAATAGTAATTGGAATTTTGAATTTATGAATTGAATTTATTCCGGTTGGTTTTCAATTCGGAATCGACGGTATATTGTCATTTCATTGATATTCTTTATAAGAAAAATTCCCGTGGAAATGTTTCCGTGCATTATGATTTTTATAAAAGCTCTCTCTTCTCGTTAATTTCCTGAAGGAAATATTTTCAGTGTAAGACAGTGGAATTATTAACGATTACGATTAGCCTCGTACAGAATGCCACAAAACCCAACAGAAATGGTGATGAATAAATGTCACCTTTGGCTCATCAGAAATGAAAGCGCTCGGTATATTCTCCTCATAATCTCCAACTCTTGCTTTCCCATGACGATGAAATTCCCTGACTCATCTTCTTTTCTCACCCGTCATCATCTCTGCCTCCATCTCAAAATGTTTCTATTCTCTTACACCCAGACATTTGTTGGAACTGTCTATTTGTCATGACAGTGTAATATGTCGGAGCCCTGCATACGGAAATTTTCGTGAAATGATACAAACGTACACAATGAACGGTCACACGTGTACATTGGATGTTTATACTTGTGTGAATGTTATGCATGAAGCTTTCGTGGTACGTCCGAAATCCCGTCGTGGCAATAATTCATGTGTTTTAGGGGAGTTTTGATGGGAAAAGGTTGTAGATGCGAGTGGTTTGGAGACACGTAGTGGAAAACGCTATTCATGTGCTTACAGTTTATACCTTCAATATTAACTTTCGGCAGCTACACGTCCATTTCTTCTTGGAAGCCAAATCCGTGTTGCCATTTGTTTTACTTTCCGCTTGTTACCTGCACGTAATACAAAAATATACGACGAGCTGATGGAATACTTTCCATCCACCTTAATACTGCGCGTTGGTTATTGTCAGTCCAGGCTTCATTTCTCATTTTTGTTTTAATCTTGCATTGAAAATAATTTATTCTCATTGGCATACTTTCATTTCTTGTTGGGAACATTATGTCACTCATCTTTCAAACGGGCACGGAATTTTTTCCGCTCCGAATATTTTCTCAATTCGCATCGTAATCGGTGAATCTTAGAGTCGTCGGGGCCCATTTCATCAATAATATGGAGGATAAGAATTCTTGAAATTAGAAGCCACGTGACATAAGAACCTCCTGAAGATTCAAATCTCTATCAGCTTGGGAGCTCTGATAACCAAGGCGGATTGAGAAAGATCTCATCTGGAAAATCCTCAGCTGCACTAATGGTGTCTCATGAACGAAGCCGCAAGCGAGTTCTTCGAAGAACATCCAGTATTCAGTCGTACATTTTCTATATCAACTTCTCCGATGATGTAATCGCGTGCAAGATTATTTATTCTATTGGGGCGTATCCAATCATTCACGATTCAAAATAATCACGGCTTCCTTGAAAGGAGATTTATCCCTTTATCGGATGTATTCCATAATGCGATTTGAAATATAAAGGAGATTAAGCCGGAAATCCGAGTATACTCTAGTTAGATATGAACGTACAGACAAAAAGTTAAATGTTCATAGAACGAACTGTAAAGAATTGGTTCTTGCATACTCTTCTAAACTCTAGTGAAAATTTCAAATTCCTTTATTCATTTTAATAAGAAACTTTATCATTAGCTTTTCGAATGTCAATCATTTGCAAAACGGTTGTCTGTTCCTCTCCAGTTGCGGAAATTATACGTTGAATTCGCTGATTTTCCGAATGGATAAACACAGAGAACAAGAGATCCATTCCCGTTTGAGTACTCTTTGGAAATTCGAACACATAATGATTCAGACATTCGTACGGAGATATTAGGAGCAATTAAGATCGTGAACTTTGAGATAGGAGATTTACTCATCTCCGTAGCATTAATGCCAGGGTGCCGTATTACTATCGTTATCTCGAGTTTCTCTGAGCCTTTAACTTCATTTTAATTTACGTCATTCGGCAATGACTTGCATTAGGAGAGAATACTTTTGTAGTCCCGTTCGGCTGAACCAATAAATTTTTTATCACTTTGTAAAGGAAGCTGAAAGTTTTCGCATATTCTCTTCTACAAATAATATCACGGGCCTGGAGTGCCGCTCCTGCAAAATTGCCAATATTTCATGCATTCTTGGGAAGACGACGATGTGAGAATTGAATAGGAACATGGTTGGATCAACATCCTTTATTCGACATCAACCTTGCTCTCATCATCCGCGGGCTTCGAAGAAACTTCCGGGGGTGAAAGGTCTCACACC